CGGACTTCTGACGCATGTCAGGGGTGACTGGGTATTCGAATGGGGTGAGTCATTTTTAACCTCATGCGCCAACCTTTCGCGTACAATGCTGAGCTGCACGCCGGTGTATGCGGAGCAGTCCTTTGCCCTCAACTCCCACTCCCACTTGCCTCTGCGCGCCACGACCTCGCCTCGCACATGGACAATTCCCCGCACAACCACCGGAGGGATCGCTACGAGTGGTGGGAGGACTACTACCACGTCTTCGAGGTGAGCCCGCCGCGCTCAGAAGACCAAGCGCCCTCTCCAGAACGCCTCGATCCTGCCCAGGAAGAACACGTCGTGCAAGAAATGTTGATAGACCTTGCGACTCAGGACTATCTGCCCCCTAGGGACGGCCCGGAGGAGCAGGAGGAGAAGGAGGAGGACGAAGACTTGGAGCACATCGGGAGCGGTGTTTCATTCGAGGAGGGGGAGCTTGCGGAGCACCATCTCGAGAACGACAACTCCACCAGGTGCGCCGGCACATATGAAGCTGCGGGCTGCGATCGTGCGGGGACCCCCAACGACGCTGTACACCTGCCGGGCGATCCCGCACACGAAGGCATGGACCCAGGCTCGCCCCTCACCGCTCTCCCGCACTCGTCCTCCTCCAGTGACGCGGGTGAGAAGTCGACCGGGCCCGCACGCATAAAGCAAGCCGGGCCGAGCCAGGTTGATGGGGGTTACAGCGACGCTGTAAACCACCCGGGCGAACCCGCAGACGAGGGCATGGACCCAGGCTCGCCCCTCACGCCTCTCCCCCACTCGTCCTCCAGCCCCGAGGTGGTCGAGTCGCTTGCTCCCGTGCGTGGCGGCACCAGTGGCGCCCAAGGCGTGCTGACGGAGCGCCCAGTAGGTGCGACCTCGGCCAACGGACCCTCGGCGCCCTCCGCCCCAGCAGCGACCCGTCGCAGCAAACGGCTGGCGGCGACGACCACGGTGGTGCACGCCCCCACCTCGTCGTCTCGGCGTGGCACTCGACGAGGCGATCACCGGGGGTCTAGCGCGACCAACATAGGGAGCGCCCGTGCTCAACCTGCTGCGAGCACGACGGGCCGCGCTCGCAGGCGCACGGACACCCCACCGGGAGAAACGGAACTGGAGTCCTCTGGCGAAGGATCAAGCCGGCACGCTGCAAAGCGCCGCATCACAGTGGTCATGTCGCCGTCTGACATCGACGGCCCCGCCGCGAAGCGGCGCAAGTGAGGGGAGTAGGCTCTGGCGGCCTGACTTCACCTCCTGCTGGGGACGAAGGGTGGACGTACCCGGTGAGCGAGCCGGGTGGAGCGAACCGCAGCAACCGTGCCAGGCGGGCCGTCCAGTGGCTACGCTGGAGAAGGAGATGGCGAGGCTGTATAGGCGAAGGAGGAACTAGACAAAGCCGAGCTTAGGTATCGAATACGATGTACGCTACCCGGACGGACAGTACGCTACCAGACAGAGAATCTATCACGCGCGCAGGGGGTGAATGTCAAGGGACCGCATGGGATACTACGAAGCATATACGATAGGACTTCATTGAGGCATGTGCACGAACACTACGAATACCAAATACACGGAACTAGGGTAGAAGCGAGCTTGTATGGACTTGATGATTGGAATGCACGCGAATGAGAACTGGCCCAGCGGGAAACGGAACTTCACAATTAACATATGCGTGATATGTATCCGGGACGGCGGGAGACGGCGTTCGGGGAGGGACGTACCACACGGATTGAACCGGGGCGTTAGCGTGTCGTATTGATGTTGGAGTTGCCCTGTGGTCCTGATCGATCAGATCCTACGGCGGGGAGAGCGGGGCGCGGCCGAGCTCGCTGCTGGCTACCCCCACCCTATCTCTATCCGCTATGGCCTCACGAGCGCGTTCAGGCGGCCACTATCGTCTCGGGTCCGCGGGCGACATAGAATGGGTGCGCCATGAACCGCTACGGACCGTCCCGAAGGGGACGGATGTCGAGACACCTGGGGGAGATGGCAACCAACAGGAGGAACATGGCACGTGGACGACTGACGCCGACGCCGAAGAACAGGACGATTTTGCAGGCGTGGGAGGTGAGACGGTCGATGCGGTTCGTTTGACGATCATGCATGGGGGATGGTGCAGAGTGGCTGCAGGGCGGACGCGTCCTGGACGGTTTTTCCTCAGAATCCACACAGAGGTTGAGGGGAGCGAGCATGACCGGGAGGACGTGAGCTTTTCGACCAAAAATGCACGTGAAGACCATACCCACTGACTTTTTGGATAGCTGGTCTTGCCGGGCAGTTTGGAGGAAGCGCGCCACCTCAACTTTGCGGATTGGAATGGGCGCGCGAACAACGTCCGCATGCGTTTTGAACACGCCTTGAGCCGCGAACAGGCGGTAGCTATCAAAGTGCTCTTGTACGCGTTCTCGTGGTTCTCGGATTCGGCGGGCAGCTCGGGATGCGACGACGACAGCGTCCAGCAGCTCTGGGATGAGCTCCAAGAATTGCTCGACTGGGCACTGATGAACGGCTTCCATTCCGGGATGCCGGGAGAGAGTCTGCTCTCCCAGGTGGTCTCGTGGGCGCAACATCGGATGGAGGTGAGCAAAATCAGTTACGGCGCTATGAAACATATGTTGACGCAAACACGTTGAGGCCGCACTGCCCAAGTACGCGAGAGCCAATGCCTACTACGCTGAGCAGTCCCCACACGGCGACATCGGGGAGGCGGAGAACTTGCTCTCATGGGATGTGGTAGACGTGCAGGGGGAAGGTGCGAAGTGGGAAGGGCAGCAGTAGAGGCTACGTGTAGCGTCACCTGTATTTTCAGCGCACGCCTCAGCATTATATCTCAGCGGCCTACATCGTACCGGACCGATTATGATAGTACGAGCGCGGGGGATAGTCGCACGAGCTCGCATAGCGGTGTCTCGAGATGATGGGAACCTGATTCATAGTATAGCACGGCCGTATTTGTAAAGACCTGCGATGAGGTGAGACGGGTAGTAGAGCTCCTAAATTTTTACATATCACAGAGGAGGGAATTGACGGAGAGAAGGGCGCTGGGCTACGAGGAGAAATGGACGAGTAGTGGAGGGGGAGCTGTTCCTGAATGGCCAGATTAGATTAGATGCGACCCGATCCATCGCGACAATGCAAGCGCCGAGTGCCCTGGATCTCCGGGCCTTGTACCAAGGTCAACAACAACCAATACGTCGCTTTCCACCCACAACACATAGCGTCTCGGCTGTCGTGTCAACGGAAATCGGACATAGAACTCATTTTACGCCAGAGAGACTCCGACGTCATCTGGTTCCCCTGGTTACTCCACCGTGTGTCGCCAGCAAAGCGAGAACGTCCATCTGAAGCTGCCGCCCGCCACTGCCCGCGGGTGACCACTCCGAGAGAACTTGAGCGTTCGATATAATCAGGAACAAAGAGCAAGGCGTGGAGGAACATGGCCGCGGGAACAGAAAATCGTAAGTGCCCCACATGTCCAGCAGCAACGCGGCAGCTGCTTACGAATGTGGGCAGGGAGAGCGCGTTGGCATGACGCGCTAACTGCCGCATACACGAAGGATAGTTTGTGGATGGTGACTACGCCGAACATGACCTTCATTCCATCGCCTCCTTTGGGCGTCATGGAGGTAGTCCTCAGAGCGGACTATCGGTACGGATGGGTCGACCCGATTCAGTGGCCGCAGCTACATTGCCAGGGATTCGAGTACCTGTGCGCCGTTCTGCGACCCCTACCGCCCGCCGACACGCTCGGCGCTATGTGGTGGACACCTCGCGAGAAGGAAGACTTTCAACGCCTCGAAGGGATCACTATCAAGTGCCTCGGACTGCTGAACGTCGCACGCGTCCAACCGCTCAGCGACCTGGTGGACGCAATGTCCGAACGGGTGGAGGAACGACGAGCCAAGGAGCCGATGTTCTCGGACAGCAGGCTGATCGGACTAGAGATGGCGATGCGACACGCGAGGGATAGGCTTTTGCATTTTCCGTGCACGTTCCAGGACGCCGCACTCCAGGTAAGGGCTGGAAGTAAAACGTGTTCGGCAGCTGGCTGACCACCGAAACAGGTCAGGGAGCTGCAGCGATACTGGCTGATGTGCCACGTGTATCTAGAATACTATGGGAAGCACAGGCAGGCGGGCACCCGAGGAAGGGACGTCAACAATGCCTTGATGGGGGCATTCACGACGGACCCCGGCGTAGTGCAGCTCCTATTTGAAGCTGGCATTCCCGTCTGGTGGGTGCGTCACGACGTGTCCGCAGCTCGTCAAATGAACATAGTAAACCTGAAGAGGTTAGAGGAGCCGAAGAACATATGCCTCCAGGACGGGGCGGAGCACGGCGATGTGATCCACCGGGGGCTCGTAGGACCGGCCCACCAAGAGGCAATGGTCCAGGGGGTCATACCTATCACGATCTATCGCGCACACCGTTGCTGGTGATGGAGAGTCCTAGGGGATATCCCGCCGCGATGACCCAACAGGAGTACAAGCAGGCACTGGGATTGCTGCCCGGCCCCTCGACGACAGACCGGACTCGTTCGACAGCTCTCACACGAGCAAGCGGCGGGTCATCGAAGCGACAAGGCCGCGCTGGGAATCCTTGTGAGTTAATTATAAATGGCCCAGTCGGAGGGAGGCACGGTTTGCTAACTGTACCCCTTAGACGCCAGACCCGCCGACCTGCGAGCAAATCAAACTCGGGGATACGAGAAGTTCCAAGAGGTGGAGCACCGATGGATGCCACCACCTCTGAGGCCGTGGAGGGCTGCGATTGAAGGGATCGACGTCACGCGGCGTGTCGCCTGTCTGAACAGTTGGGGGTATTGGATTCCCAACCCGACAATGTTCGTTCGCACACAAACGGAGGATTGAGCGGCCCGCTACCTCTTTACGTGGCTGCGAATCCGCCCCGCCTGGCTCTACATCCTGCGCGTCAAACACTCCGAACTGAGCGGCATCTCGGCCCAGTGGTGGCGAGACTTCCTCTATGGAGAGACCGGACGAGAACTCAATTCAACCACCGTGAATGGGAAACGCGCCCGGCAAATCCTCCACGTCTTCGGCGAGTACTTCAAGATGTCGGAGGTGGACGTTGCACCGACGGCCCCGCCGCATTGGTTTGAGCATCGGCTCACCCGAATTCCGGAGTCCGTATGCGCCGCTATCGTGTGGGAGCTGTGTGAGCTCGGCTTCCGGAACGAGCTACTGGCTCTAGACAGGCTGCTCGTTCCGATGCGCGACACGCCTCGGGGCTTGGCCATGCGAGAGGATTTGATCGGCAGAATGTTCCCCGATCGTTCTGTGTACTGCGTAGCTAGTCTCCCAAAGGAGGGTAGTGAGGGACTCGCCGCGGCCTTGCCACAACGCCGAGCACCGTACCTCGAGGCCTTCCGAAAGGTACTCTCGAGATGGCCACGTTGCCCGCGTACAATCTACGGGACCATGCCGATCACGATAGATCTGGCGGCGGACCTCATCGAGGAGCGGGAGAGGGAGTTGTTGATGTTCTATGTGCAGTCGTTCTACAACGAATCGGGACGACCGCCGATCGTTCCTCGTTCCTTCCCGAAGATCTGACGGATGTTTGAAGAGGCGGTAGGTAGCCACGTGTACGATACACCGCGTCTAACATACACATACAGAGCCGTTGCGGTGAGTGTCTAGGCATTGAGTGTGCGCGATATACATTGCGGAGTGGGCATGGAATAGCACTTGACGTGCCGTAATGGGGTTGGAATGCGAGCAGGGTGATGTACATGCGACGCGCGGGGTCGGACGCGCGTGCGTGGGCGGGGCTGTGATCGGCGGGAGGAGCAGATTGGTTGAACAGCAGGAGTGTCGCGCGCCAGCTGTTTGTGCGGCGGCGGGCATGCGCCTAGCGGGCGCACGATAAGTTAAGCCGGACCCGCGCCGCGCAACACGCGAGCAGTACAACGGTACGACAGGCATGGCCCGTGCGGTCGTGAAGGGGCGCCGCGTGGGGTGTACGACGAGCGTTCGTCGGGACTGCGCCGAGCGGGAGTGCGATAGGTTAAACAACAACAGCGCCGTGCACCACACGAGCGGTTCGGGCAGCATGCCCCGTCGGGACGTGACGGAGGGCCTGCTATTGTGCCGCCCCAAAGTGCCAGTGCGCGATAATCCCCAATCCAAGGGCCCTGTTCATCCGCACGGCGCCGCGGGTCATCCTCCTGCTCTCTGCACGGCTCATCTGCGCTGTCAGTGGCGGCTTATCCTCCTCATACCTCTGAACATCTTCAGTGGCGGCTTTTCCTCCTCATACCTCTGAGCATCTTCCCTAGTCCATCTTCGCTGCGGGCTCGGTCACCATTCTACGCAAACGTCGGTTCCCCTACCTCTTCGGAGCCCCTTCCCGACTTCATCTACGGCGCACAGTCGGTCGTCATACTGAGCGCATAACATGGCCAGGAAACACGATAGCGGCACGAAGGCTGCCAAGAAAGGGCAAACCGGCAGTGAGACGGTGAAGACAGCCAGGACGGTGGCGGGTGAGTCTGCGTCCAGTGGCCCTACCGCAACAGAGGTCGCTTCCGGTGTGGCGGACAAGGATGCCGGGGCTCCGGTGCCGGTGTTCGACGACTCCTCCGATGGAGAGGAAGGCTTGTCTAAGGACAGACGTGCGACAGACTGGCGGAAGGTGAAGAAGCCGAAGCAAGCCAGGAGGGCAGAGAAGGCCAAGGACGCCAATAGGGCGGAGCCGGTGGAGGAAACGAGTTCGGCTGCAGCGCCACGGGGAGCCGACGGCGAGGAAGGTGACGAAGAGAGCGACGACGAGCGAGACCGAGGCAGCGAGAACGACGCTGCCGAAGAGAACGCGAAACCGACAGGGAAGGCGAAACGTAGAGGGAAGGCGAAGCGGTTCAACTGGAAGGTAGGGACAGGAAAGGACGCTCGGAGATACATGGAGAGTCGCTGGGAAGAGTTCGTCAGCGATGAGGTTCGACGGAAGGTGGTGAGGGATGAGACGGCGGAGTACGTCTCGAGCCATTACAAGTTCCCGGAACACGGTGCGGGTGACGTTCGCAAGGTACGTAACGGTCTTACGGGTGCACGTTTACATTAACTGATGACTCGAAATCGAAGGCCGTGCATATGTGGTTCAAAAACACGTTGGCGCACACCGCGCGTTGTGGACGGACCTCGCGACGGGTGTCTTCGGGACGCCTGTCTTCGGGCGAGTCCGACGACAGCAGCGACAGCTCTGACGATGAGGACGCGCCCTTGAAGCGAGTCATAGCACACTTCGGGAAAGCAATCAAGGGGCGCGCACTGTCTGGATCGATTCTGTGGGGACGGAAGAACAAGGGTGACGTGCAGAAGAAGATGGTAGGGAGTGGCATCGGGAGCTACATGCGGGCCCTCAAGCTGTGCTTCGAAGAGCTCCCGGCCGAACAGCAGGCCTTTTGGCGGGAGAAGGCGAAGGCTGAGGCCGCATCGCACGTGGACAACCCGTTGCAATGCTTCGAGTGCGTGCAAGCATTTCACTGTCGTCGCTGACCGTGCTGATCAGCTCTTGGCCGGTCCTCCAACAGCAACCAACGCGCCTTCCCTGGATTGGTCGCACGCCTATTGTCGCAATTCTCGGGGTTCGGATCGGAGCAAGTGGGCGCGGTAGTAATGCACGTTCAGATAGGCCTGCGCGATGAAGAGGGGGTCATCGTGCGCGAACAGTGAGTGATATCTTCAACTCCCGTGATGGCGTATTAAGCGTGTTTTGAGGTTGACGATTGGGGCGGACGAAGACCGCCAGACGCCTTGCTTCGCAACGTTTGAAGGCAGGGCTGACATACGCGAGCAAGAGCGGTGGGATCGCTTTGTGTGCTTGATGCTTCGTATGTGCATGACTTAGTATTGCGGCCATTCCCGTGCCTGACATTCATTCAGCGCAAAACCCTATGCGTGGCGACCCTCGATTGCTAAGGACAGCCGATGGTAGGCCTCAACTGCCCGCACCAGAGGCGTCGTGGGGGCGTGATGACATGGCAACAGTGCTGGAGTCGTTTTTCCGCGCCAGCTTTAGTAAGTCGTATGAATCAACGAAGAGCGGACGGGTGCTAATGTGGTATAACAGCGTATATACGGGGGCCTCAGGCACGGCTGCTCTGGCCGGAAGTCGCGAAGGCGCCATCGGCATACCTGAACACGGAGTGGCAGGAAGCGGGGGTGGGCGACCTGGCTAAACGCGACGTGCTACAGGTCGCTGTGCTGTACTCACAGATCTTGAAGCATCAGGGCAGCGACAGGGCATTCGCGTTCCTGCCTGAAGTGAACATCTTGTCGGACGGGTCCGTTCTACCATCAGGAGGTGGGACTGGCCCAATTCCGGACACGCCGAGGCGCAATCACTTGATCGTGAGGGTGAACATGACGCCGGTACACCACACACCCTCTCGCCTTCGCCTGTCTTCCAGCGCCGAGACGTTGCCTCTAAAGGCGCCGGAATTTGGACGTGGAGGCGAGATGGCGCGCATCCTAGAGGCCGGGGAAGGTGATGGGGAGGCGGCCTCTACCTCCGATGCAGCGCCCGCGGGCTCTGCCGGCGCCGCGCCGGAAGCAGGGCCCCCGCCCTCGCGCGCGCCCTATCCCGCCGCCTCTAGTGCAACCGTGTCCGAAGCAGTGCCCGCGCGCTCTGCCGGCGCCGCGCCCGAAGCAGCGCCCCCGCCCTTGCGCGCGCCCTATCCTGCCGCGTCTACCCCGCCTGTGGCCGAGCCAGCGCCCGAGCCCGAGCCAGCGCCCGAGCCCGAGCCAGCACCCGCGCCCCAGCCAGCGCCCGCGCCCTCTGCCGCCGGCTGTGACGCGACGCCCTGCGAGGGGGCCGCATCCCCCGGCGCCCCGCCCACTGCCGCGGCGCCACACACGCCTTCTCTGTCCACCAGCACCGACGCGACACCTGCGGTCGCGGAGGCGCCTGAGTTGAGGGCTGACGTGGCTATGGGCAACAACGTCGCGGATGGGGACACCTCTACGGAAGCGTCGGTGGCTCCAAAAGCGGGGGGGCGGAAGGGCCGGCAGAAAAGGAAAATGCGCGACGAGAACTGGGCGCGCGAGATGGCAGAGATGCGAGCCGCTAAAAAGGCGAGGGATGCTCAGGCAGACGCGGGGTCCGGGGCGGGCGTGGAGGGAGTGCCGGCCGCGGGGGCATCGAGTGCAGTCAAGGCACTAGAGGCTACGCCGGTCTCAGGGCCTGCGGGTCGTGCTGCAACGCGGCGATCGAGTCGTGTGGCGAAGGGGGGAGCAAGGGCGGATGGATTGTGAGGGAAAGGCCTGGAATGACGGGCAGCGGACGTGCGGTGCATTAATTATGTGAGTTTATCCAGGCGGACGTGGTTTAATCTCATACGATTCATGAAGGATGGGTCGCGGATAATCGTGCCCGTACAAGGTGAGATTTACAAGGGGAAAAGGACATACATGAAGGATGATCCTTGGATAAACCAAGACTGATGAGCGAGAGGGGAGGCGAGTAAGCGACGGTGGTTTATCGCACAGGTTAATCATGCGGCGGTAAAGAACAAATGTGAGTATAACGAGGTGACTGGTTCGTGAATGATTATCAGGTGGGATGAGGAGATTAACGTTTGGATTGACGAAGGATAATTGCTCGTAATCTGCAAGGGTGGGCTCGGATAATCCTGAACGAATGCTGTGGCTCAGAAGGATCATCCTGATTGGAGTCGCACGACCAGGAGAATGGATGAACTATGGACATCGTAAATGGTGTGGATAATCCATGAAATGTACTAATAAATGCCTGAAGATAAAC